CCACACCTCTTCCACGCAATATAAATGGTAGTTCCAATTGCAAAATCCAATGGGAGAAGGGAGAGAGAGCTACATATAAACGTGACAGAGGTGTTTGTGGGGGTACTAGCTGGAAAGCAATTAATTAAATAAACTAGTTTTGTTTCAAAAATGAATGAGTAATTGATTGTAATAACGTCTTTTGTGTTTATAAAATGTCGACTTTCCTAAACTTGGATCTTGCGTATTCTGACATGTTGCGAACGTAGACTTCTTCCGACTATTTTAGTCCTCAGGAAGTCTGATGAAGAGTCCCTGGGGACGAAAAGACATAGGAACGAGGCTGCAGCAGACCGTGAGTGTGGTACTGCGTCGGTGGGAGAGTAAAACAGGTAATTTTGTGTTAACAACTGGGTTGAAAACGTAAATAGGCCACCGTAAAGAGTTAAAAGGCTGACGTTTCGAGCGTTGGCCCTTCGTCAATCGCTCTGACGAAGGGCTAGCGCACGAAACGTCATCCTTTTAACTCTTTACGGTGGCTAATTTATGCTTTAACTCAGTTGTTAACACTAAATTATGTCTTTAATTCGGACGATTCTTCCGACAAGTTCGGTAATGTTTGATAAAGGATTCATTGTTTTCACCATTTCACCCATTCATGGTTTTAACTTAACATGTGTATTTTGCAAAGTGCCATTCTTAAAACACCTAACATTTTGCAAATTTTGTGGAAGACCATGCTCCTAGCCCTCCTTACAAGAATTGGAAATTTGTTTTGAACTCTAAATCTTATGTTGAAAATAAGAGGGTACAGAGAAAGAAATAGTTCACAGTACATAAAACATTGAGAAGCTAACAATCCAAGAAAATACAGTCTCAACATTTGTATTTAGTAACACTGGTCTATTCTATCATTTTTGCTTTTTGATTATTTTGCTTTGGGGTCTCATCTATGCAAATAACACTTCCATCTCTATTTTAGAGGGATTTTTAGTAACTTAATCCCTTTGGTTTTGTGCAGGTGCCTTTTCTACCTATTTAAGAAGTTTAAAGGACTCCCAGAAAAAAGGGAGGGTGCCGGGAAAGATTGATCACAAGATTGTGTGTCGGAGGCAGGGAAGAATGAGAGAGGTAGGAAACCAGTTACAGTACATGTAGCATTCTTTCGTAAAACTTTTACAAAAGAATGCTACATGTACTGTCTGAGACATAACACTACGTCTTTGATGATGGCTTTTTGATGGCTCTGATATCTAGGTTTAGTTTTTGGAAGTAAGTCAGTTAGTTTGATGTCAAGTGCTCTTGAATGTATTCATAATACAATCACTTTTAATTTTTTTATGGCTCATGTAACCATTTGGGCAAGTACAGGCTGTACATTTCCAAATTATGTATTTCCTTTTTAAAAGCAATCTTAAACTTGTTTAAAAGAAGCCAAACAAGAAAGATGCAAAAAATTCCTGATCTTTGAGTACACAAGCTCAGATAAAAGTGAGCTCTCCGAAGATGAAACTGGGCCAGATGTGAAAAGACTTGTCACAAAGAGGTTGGCCTGGGAAGGACCAAAGCTGAGAGAACTCAAGGACGTCCTTGACCTTGCCCACAAAAGATCATTAAAGCCCCATGTCAGAAATTTCCGGACAGAAAGAGTTGTTGACGAGAGATTCTCTTCACGAGGCCCCCCTCCAGATGCCCCTAAATGGACCTTAAAGAGTGGTTCTTCTCCAGTGGCTACAAGCAAACCTGCACGGGGAAGACAGTAACCTGGAAGTGTCCCTGCATGTATGAAAGGGCTGGCACCCTTGTTTTACGTCGTCAATTTCAGGCATATTTCACTGACCAACTGAGCCTCAAAATTTTATGAACCACATTGGTTAATTGCTTGTCAATTTCTTTTGTTTTTAACTTTCTTTTAGAAATAAAAAATTTCAATAATAGTTTTATTTTTAATTGAAACGTGAGAAATGGCCAGGCCCTTTTATACTGGGCTGAATAATATAAACCTCTTGCTACGTTACTGTAAAAATTACAAAATCAAGTTGAAGAGTTATGACAATAAAATAAATTGCAATTTATAAAACACGTGTTGTTATGGGTCAGTGCTTCAAAGGCATGTACGGCATCGTTTTACGAAAGCGTAAAATATCGCAAACGTTCTCGATACGACTTTTTGCATTACGCGCTAAGATAGCGCATTACGTTGATGTTGTCACGAGCTCACATTTGTTATAGTCTGATTAACAAAAAGGGATGTTGCCAAAAAATTCAGACAACCGTAAAATGGCAAAGGGGAATGTGAATATTGTCCATTTACGATAGTTTAATAACGCGTAAAGATCGCCTTTCCGATCGCTTTACAATCGCCGTAAAAATATCGTAAATATTCTCTATCTTTTCAAAAATTATGTCAAAAATGTTGATGAAATTCCCCACTATTGTGTCAATATTTTGAATTTTTTTTAAGAAAAAAAAGGGAAAAAAGTGGTAGTAGTCAGGTAAGCAAAAATAGTTTTATATTGCTATTTTGTAGATTGAAAGATGGTGGAAGGAATTGCATGAGAGGATGGAGAGGTATTTTAAGGATGGTTTGCGTTGGCTAAAAGATCAAGGTCATTATGACCCACACAATGACTCTGATAGGTATGTGCAGTAATTTGGATCTGAAGCAGTTATCTTTGGAACCAGCTTTTTATACCTCTTAACTTCACTGTATATCATTGAAAGGAGTGTCATGTACTTCTTGACATAATTTACTGTATCTGCATACATAAGTATCCTTTCATGACTGCTTTCAGCATTATATTTTAATGTTTTGGCAGATTGCTCTTGGCCTTCATCATGGTACCTCTTATCCAGAAGGAGTTAGATATTTTCAGAGAAACAGTGTGGAACTCACACAGGATCAGAGCACAGAGAGACACTGCACTTCCAGATGGTGTACCAGACCACACATATAACTTCCCTGAGAAATATGGGCTTGAAGAGTGTGGTATGTGCCATATTATCCTGTGCCTTATAAATGAATGTACATTAATGTGGATCCAGTACTTTCATTCAAGAAATTAATAGTTCCCATTAGACATCGTCAGCAATCTCAGCGGTTATTACCACTGGCAGTCTTTTATTTCTTGCTGCCTGACGAAATCCCCACGACAACTAGGTATATAAAATCTTGATCCAAGGGCAAAATTCCTTTTGTTGGTTGTTCAATGGTACACTGTATGTACATAATACTGATCGGTCAACATATTTT